TCTATTAAGAGAGGATTTCTGACCTTCTGCATGGGAGGTATTAGTGGTCTAGGAATTCACAGATTTACTCCTGTTAGAAGTAAACACATTCAAATACACACATTGTAACTGGAGGATGTAAAGCCTGTTTAACAAATACATCTTTCTCTCCCTGAAATAATTATTTTGATAAAGACTTGCAAAGAAAAGTGGAAAAAATTTTTAGAAGCAGATTATCTTTTATTCTGTCTCACCCACCTGTTCTGGCATCTCACTTCTCACCCTGTATATCTGCCACCTTCAGGGCTCCTTAACTTGGCTATTTTTTGCCAGTACTAGGTCCCTAGGAAAGAAGTCTGCTTTTCCATCTTTCTTTGTATTCTATAAGGCAGGTTTGGGAGGAATTGAGAAAAATTTCATCAACAAAGAAATAGCTACTTACAGGTTTTTCCAGTTCAATAGTGTAATTTTTTCCTACACTCATCACTTTGTAGTGCTTGATTCTTGGCATGCTAAAATGAAAAAAATGGTTAATCTTCATTTGATTGTAGGATTGGTACAATGCAAACTAATAAGTATAAAATATCACCTATATAGTAAACCTATGTTCCCATGACTATAGCTTGGTTGGCAAAAAATCGCCGGTGGTTTTGTTCTATTTACATGGTTTGCTGTGTTCCTTTTTGGGGGATTATACACTAGGATATAGGAAATCTGTGTCATTGAGTGAGTGAATGAAAAAGAATAAATAGAGAAAAAAGAACTGAAAATCTTTTAGGTAGAAATAATTTCTTTAAATGTTGGTAACTTACAAAGTAGAAAACATAAAATCCTGTGTAAGCATATATAAATCAAATATATATTCTCTATATTAGAAGTGGAAAGAATTATTGAAAGCAAATTGCTTTCTACTCTACCTCATCACTGATCTAACCAGCAAGACCTCAATAGCTGTTTCTGATAGCTCATGTATCACTCTGGATATCTGCTAACTTCAGGGCTGACTTAGAGATACAGAAAATTCTAGGTGTTAGGCACTATATGAACACATAGATGGGAATGTAAGTACAGTAGATGAATCTTAATGTCTTCCTCTTGTACAGTTACGTAGCACTCTAAATTATTACCACTCTAAACATGGTATTTTATTGATTATGAACTGCTTATGAACAAGAAGCATATTCTATTCTTTGTATTCCAGCATTAGATACACAATAAATATTTATGAAACTGAATTTAAAAATATAACATTAGGAGCCCACCTCCCAGTGCTATCTGCTAGGACTAAATGAATTTATATTGAGATCATAAGTCAGTGTCCATGACAGTTAGTTTTGAACAAGAGTATGTTTGTGTTGAATTCCCTTGATTCATATGGCAAGAGTATTAGGACCAAAACTTTTTCTAGTGTTGGCAAGTTAATAGCATTTATCACGTTGTCATTTGCTTGAACAACAAACTAATGCAACTTTTGTTCTATGTAGAGAAGCTAAAGCAAAATTGTTCATCAAGTTAATCTCGATTACAGGGCCTTTTCCACCTTTTTTTGTTTGTTTGTTTGTTTTTTACCACTTCTCCCTTCATTTCCAGTTCACATTTCTCTAGGACTGAACTACACCAAAGTCTTCTATTCAGGGGACTTTTTCCTCATCCACTGTTATATCCAAATCTCATCTTAATTATATATCACATTGGAAAACAGCTAATAAATTAATTCCAATGGCCCACTTTCAAAACATGGAATAAAACCTAACCAACACTTTCCCCTCCTAAAAGAAAGTATTCCTTAATGCTGAAACTTCAGGAGTCAGTTATAGATGGGTGAAGGAAACATTATGGGACAGAGGAGGTCTTACAAGTACCCTTTTGGAGTCGTTCGCTCTGGCTTTACCTTTGCCTCTATCACAAAAAGATCTTTGTAATCCGACAGTTACTTTTGAAAACTCTCCAATTTCAATTAGAATTCCTATATTTGTGTGAAATAAATGGTTGCTATTCTTTGGAAGACCAATTAAAAAAATTTGGTTCAAATTCTGGTTCTGATACAGTGGAGAAAGGATATCTCTTCAATAATAAATGGTGCTGGGAAAACTGAAAATCCATATGTAGAAGATTACTAGACCCTTAACTCTCACCATATTCAAAAATCAAATCAAGATGGATTAAAGACTTAAATCTAAGACTTGAAACTATGAAACTACTAAAAGAAAACATTGGGGAAACACTTCAGGACATTGGTCTGGGCAAGGACTTCTTAAGTAATATCCCAAAGCACAGACAACCAAAGCAAAATTGGAGAAATGGAATCACATCAAGCTAAAAAGCTGCACCGCAAACAATCAACTAAGTGAAGAAATGACCCACATAATGGGAGAAAATATTTGCAAACCATCCATCTAACAAAGGATTAATTAATAACTAGTATATATAAGGAGTTCCAACAACTGGATAGGAAAAAT